AGATCAGGGACTGAACTGGGACCCCCGTGTACTTAGTGCATTCCCTTCTCATGTGATCAGGGGACCGACATGAGTGATACTTTCTTGGTCCCTCTTTTTGAGCTGGGGTCTGACAATTAGGGCTACTAAAAGGAGGCAGTTACTGGGGTGGTGTGGACTTCACTCTCACCCCAGGGACAAATCAGGAACATCCTTTTACTCCAGGTTTTTGCCCTTCCTTTTGGAGCTTGTGCTCACTATATAGTCTCACTTGTATGTACCACAGCAGCTATTTCAGTGACTGCTTCCACTGATGCTGGAGGCTTCTCCTACACAGTGGTTCGCACTTCCTCGGAGTGGACTTCAAAGAGCTGCCCCTGAGCAATCAGATCTACAGGTTTTCCAAGGAATCTGCCCCTTTACTCTTTATCCATTTTCTCAAATAATCCACCATCTTATGCTCACATTCCCTGTGATGTAATTTATCAGTCTTTTTGAGATTTCTGAATTTGAGGCAATATGATGCTGGTGTAATTTGAAACTGTTTTTATAATACCATGCCTCATAGCTGCATTTACATCCATATCATTAAACACTTGCAAAGCTTTGCCAGTCATTTTGGAAAGCATTTATTCTCAAGTCATCAGGGTACACTGCAGATCCGTTTGAAGGTGGTTAAATAGTCTCCAGTATATCCCTGTAGCTAGGGGGCACAGTTTGTCCCACCCGTGGGATCTCTGGAGAGGATGAGCACCCGGGGGCTGAGGCCACCTGGCCTTGTTTTTCCAGTATGCTCAGGGCATACAGCCTCTCCTCTCTTTCTTGCCTCTTCTTGGTTTTTTTTTTTTTTCCACCTTGGGCTTCTGCTTCCTGGGCTTCACACCTTTTGTCTTCTAGCTCCAATGCTCACTGGTGGGCTACTCTGTCCACTGCCTGTTTCTGCTTCTCTGCTTCCAGGTTTTGATTTTTAGCTTCCATTTCCAGCCTTTTGGTCCACTCCACTATCTCTGTTTTCTGGACCTCTATCTCATCCAGTTTGCTTTACATGGCTACGGCACCAAGAACTGTGTCATGCTGGTCTTCTAAGCCTGTTCCACCCTTGGGCTCAGTCCCTTTTGGTGGATCAGTCTAATCTCTTTGCTGTTTATCCTGCTTACTCATCTTATATTTTCTTTTGTTTTATCTCCTTTACCCCAAATCAGCAAACAGAAAATAACAACCCATAACCTCCTCTTTATTTGCATCCAATTTTTCTTTTGAATCTCTCAGAATCTGATTTATAAGTACTTGGAGTGTGATTTTTGGTTAGCTAGAGAACAGTGTACTGATCCTGCCAGCTACACCACTGTGACACTTCATGGGCCACTCAAGACTGTGAGGCACCTTATCACCTGCCACCAGCGTGAGGGAGTCTTGCCTTTACTAGCTGGATGTTAGCTCCCTAACACTTGCCCTTGGGCTACACCAGCCCTGTCTTTGCCTTACAGGTTGACAAGTGCACCCCAGCCCCTGAGTCCCTTCAAAGTGCTCCCATGTGGTATCCAGCCCCTGATCACTGGATACCCACAGAAATCTTAGCTCCTCTGTTTCCGAAGGAACAGTGTATGTGAGTTTACTAATTTTACCTTAGCCCACTGCTCCTGTATTACTCACAGTGCTTGAGTTCAATTATAAAACAAAAGGAAATTTATTTAAGAAAGAATAAAGATTCAATTAAAAACCAGTGTTAGAGGTTACATAAAAAAGTCGTCAAACATGCTTTCTAGAGAGTAAACCTAACTAACAAGGCATTCTCCTAACTCCTACAAGATAATGTACCCCAAGTTTTTTCCCCAGCGTTTTCAACCAGTTTGGTTCAAACACTTTGTCATCAGATTAAGCCTGTTGCCAGAATGTCCTCACACACTGAAGGAATGCCATGGTGTCATTGTGCACCCTCCAATATACCAGCACAGACCTTTTATGTTCACCTCAAAATAGGTTTCTCCCCACTGTTTATCTCTTTCTGATAATTTCCTTCTGAAGTCTCCTCCAGCTACTCAGAAGCATTTGACTTAGAATGCTAATAGACTCCTACAGTATGACATAAAACACACAATGGTTCACCCTGGAGATGAGTGTCTCCCACCTCCTGCCTGGAGGAGTGTGTCGCAAGACACACTACCTTTGAGTGACCTGATTTTAGCTACTGTCCTCGGGAACATACTTTTTACCGTATATATGTAACTCCTCACATATTTTCCATACATATACCTTGCAATAGTTGTGATGACCAGAGTGACACAGGCTCTCATTAGAGACCTTACATGACATTCTTTTGGTGAACTTAGGGGATCCCTATATACTCCAGTGCCCACTACCAGTTGGCATCCAGAGGTTCTTGGGTCACTCCTTCCCCCTTGCTTCAGCTGCTGCCATCCTTCTGCTCTCAAAGCAAACATACAAATAAATTCACTAGCCATCTCAGTAATTCTGCATTCTTTAAATTGTGTGTAATGGAAATTTCATCCTTAATGTTGTATTAGTTTACTTCTTTTGCAGCTATTTTTATTATTTTCTGTTCATTCTATTTATAAAATACATATTTTTGGGGTTGGACTCTTTGCTTTACCTAAAAAGTTTCCACATAAATAGTCATGGAGATGTTTCACTGAAGGACAGAGTTACTGAGCGGGACTCTGGCAAACTTTGTGAAGAGGTGTCTGTCAGAAACACCGTTGTCAGCAGTAAGATTCTTAGGTGGAAGTTGGTTGGTCCTTTCTTAGGTGGAAGAGTGGCTGACTCTACTCCAAACCCCAGGATAAGTTACCTGAGAGGCCTCCATGATGACAATTTTTGTCTCTCTAGCCTTCAAAACATGATTTAGCACATACAGTGCTGCTTCTCGCCAGAATTCAAAGTTCTGTTTGACCAATGAACTTCTGATCAATGTTTGATAAACACTTATGCTTGCACAATGCTATCCTCCACAGCCAAAATGTATGTCTCAAGACTTGGCTTCACTCGAGTTTTTTACTGCTAATTTACTCCAGGGACTTAATGCAAGCATAAAGGGTGGTTTGGACACTTCCCAAATGTTTGTGATTAACCAGAGGTAATGATGCCTAGACTGATGCTTAGGTCAAAGCATGTTAGTATTCTGGGACAGATGTTTGAGAAGAGTTCAGGCTAGCTTTTACAGACTTTTACTAGCTTTAGTTAATTGGTAATCAATTAATTTGAGGTAAAAACTCTAGTATAGATATACCATCACTGTCCTGTCTACTGCACCTGCCAGCCCAGCTATACCTCATCCTGCTACCTTTTGAGGAGGGGAAAGCACTGGGCCTATACAAGTATCCTCAAGATCCTGCCACCTTCAGAAAGAGAGGGACCCAGCAACTTGTTAATCAAAAACTGATGTATGTGCAAGAGAAGGGAGCCTTCATAAAGCAAGAGAGACAGGAACTATATTTTGGAATCCAGGAGATCCTAGGGAATGCCATAGAGAAGAAGGGAGGGTGTTTGACATTCAGGGTAATCACCAAAAAGTTCTGATCAGCTTGTGTTTTTGGCTGTTTAGTAAAACAGAACATCTGTGGCTTCTGAACATTGGTTATAGGGCAACTCCTATCTAAGGCTGAATCAGAGTTTCTCTTTATGGGCAATTTTTCAAAGTTCTCTAAAATCAACACGCATAGGGAGTTTGCCTTGAAAATTGCTGTGACATTTCAGGTGTAGGACTAGAGCATATGGTGCAAATTTGGAGTAAATTCATTCAAGGATTTCCAAGATACATTACCTCCCTCAGAAAAAGACTCTGCTTTCTAAAATGGCAGGTTCTTATTATGCTTTTTTGTGCACTGGTTCAGAACAAATGATGGGGAGAGACCACACAAAACTCATATCCCTGAACTCCCCCAGTACTCAGCTTGTTTACTGTACCTGTCTCTGAATATTAGCTGTTTAGTTCAGTTCTGTGGAGCGAGTGGTTTTTGGCCTGACAGTACAATGCTCAGGCTCAGACTCGCACATAGATGTCTCTTTGCTGAACAGTACATGGTTGGGCTAGTCCTCAGTGAGTGCTCACACCAAAAAAATCCCCCTGTTCCCTTGTGGAAGAGCCATTGGTCTGAGTAACCTATGTGTTTGTCTCCTCTTGTAGTACACCTGTTTATGTTGCTGTGCATCTCTGCTGCTCTTCTTGGTGGCAGGTAAAGTAAGTGGGAGTTGGTACAAGGTCAAATCTGGCAGTGCTGGGATGATTATCAAGGTTTCTTAAATTGCAAACTGGAATCTTTCAGAGAGTCACATTGCTTTTTTGAAATGCATGTGCCAGATGAAATAGTCCGACATGATTGAATTGGAGCTGGGTGAAGAACTGATTTGGTTGGTTGGCTGGCAGTTCTGAAAAATTGGAAAAAAACATTTCAGTAAGGGCAAATGGAATCCAAGAATTCTGAAAAATTTCAGCAAATTGGAAACATTAACAAAGAGGGCATTTCAAGTCAAATTAAATGTTTTTAATTTGGAGCAACTTCAGCAACCAAAGTCTTTCACTATGCCACATTTATTTGAAATGCTTGTGCCAAATGGAATAGTCAGGCATGTTGGAATATCAGTTTAGTTATTGTATATAGTGCATGGTTCTGAAGAAAGAAGAAAGATGATTTATAAAATCTGGTAGTCACGTCAATTATTGTTCTAAATGGGAATTTTTGAAAATTCCACCAAACACTTTTTGGACATGTGGTTCTCAATCTTCCCAAAGCCAGGAAATCCCTCTTTTAACATTTGAATAAGTCATGAACTCCCTTTCCAGCCTTTCAAAATGCCTGGTCTTTGGACCCACAGAAACTCTGCATGATCCCCGAGGTGAGCAGATTGTAGTCTTTAAACCCTGGTGGTAAAGAATTAATTGTTCATTTTGCATAATTAAGCTTTCTGAAGACCAACAGTGTGTCTTAAGCAACCTGTGTTTATCATGAGGGATGTCTCTGAACTCTGAGTAGTTGATACCTTGTGTTTGTCTCAGCAGAAGTATCTTCCACACCATACTGTGAGGGGAGAAATTCCATGGAATCATAGAGGGCAATGAAAAAAACCCAAGTTGGACAGTATTCCCAGGGGAGTTTACACATGTTATCTCTGGTATCTTGATGTTGAAAGAGAGGTGATAGAGAGAGGTATTGAGTGGGAGTAGAAAGCATGATCAGTCTTCAAAAGCAGTTGCTGAGGACAGAATGCAGAGAAGCACAGAACTCAACATCAGCCATTGCAAGTACTGGATTTAATTGGTCAACCCTCAGAATGACTTTGCTGAGCTGTATCATCATTCAGATACTCTGGGCTTTCTCTGCTAAGGGACAAGGTAAGATGCAAAAGGAGCCAAATATTCAACAACACTTTAGCTTAACTCTTCCCTGGTGTGGGTGATATTAAATACACTCAATGCTGCACATAGTCAAGTGCTGTTACAGTGAACTCTCAAATATACAACTTCAGCTCACGTCATTTAATAGTGGAGACATCCCCAACCCCGCTTTACAAGGGCAAAACAATCAAATGTACAGTAAACAGGAGAAAGCCATTAACAACAGAGTGAATGAAAATCTTTGAAGGCAAAAGGTGTGAATTGAGTCTCATTTTTGGGTAGTGCTAGAGAATATTTCCACGTGTCAGAGCTACTGCCTGTTGAAACAGGGCTGAGTGCATCCCTCAAAATATAGCAGCGTTCAGAGTGCAAAAGCTGGTGAGCCTTCATTGTACCTCTGTATGTGTTACTTCTGTTATCAGAACAGTTGATGAAATTCGTTCATATATTCATATGTCTCTTATTTATGTCACGCTATGTGAATTGTAATGATATTCATTGTTTTCTGGTTTGTTTAGAAATTGTGTTTTGTACCATTCCCAGATTTAGTGTTATATGGATGGAAGAAAACACTCTGGCATGTGGGCCTGATTTATAGATACAATGGAGACAGGAACCTTACATATGCTTATAGATAGTGCAATAGGTCGTATAGAGCGAGTGGGCATTTTAATTTCTGACACCAGACCTGCTTTGTCCATGCCCACGATGTCATATAGTAAAATATGTTTTGGAGTGATGACTTTCCAGGACACTGTCGGGTTCCTGAGTAGATAAGGGCTATTTATGTTTAGTGGTGGGAAAGGAGGATCCATCTGAAACCTAATTATTACAGTGGACCTGGTCTGTGGTAAATCAGGGTAGAGCAGTGAAGGAGTCTTGTTTGTAAGACCCTTGTTTCTTTGAATACTAAGGATTATGTTCAGCATTTCTGACCTCAGGATTAATCCTGCCAGGGTCTACTCTCAATTAAATCAGCTTATCTGTTTAGAGGAAGGGGTAGACTTTCCACCTGAAATGAGCAGGGAGGGTTCTGCCCGGTCTCCTGATCTTGATCACAAAACCAGTAGAGCAGGTCCCAATTACACTGGAAATCACATCTGCATTTATGACATGGCAAGACTGTTGCACTCCTCTGGGACAATGCCATTACCAGCCTAAGAGTGTGTGTGAGCTATTAAGGCACTTTTGGTGAAAGGGTTTCAGCTATGGGATGAACTTCCAGAAGAGATTAGACAAATCATATCTGTCCAACTTTTGGTCTCACTGCAAGACTCTCCTTTTTTGATATAGCTTTTCCATCCTAATCAGAATGACACTTATGATAACAACTACCTGCGCCCCACCTAAACAATAAAATAAATTTATCCTAAGCAGATCCGCCCAGCAGCAAAGGTAGGAGAAGAGCTACCGACTTCATCAAGTCCACACGGATCTCACTTTGACAATCTTATGCAGAAAATGCTTCTACAATGCAATCCTTGGAATTAGAAAAAAAAAAAGAAGATGGATATAAATAATGTTAATTGAAGGGGATTTACAATCCAATGTCCTGTTTCCAGTTAAACTTGTTTGTCTGTTTCTCTTTAGTAATTGCATGTGATCCTCCAGCAGTGAATAATGGAAACTACCGCCCTCAAAAGAGTGTTCAGAAAAGCGGATATAATCAGAGCAGACTGTAATTGTAGATTTCACTTTGATTTGGACAACAGGGAAAAGACAGCAGAATACACAAAAAATGGCTGGTTACCTATTCCAAGATGTGTCACAAGAAGCCTCCTATAGCATCCTACCAGACAGGAGAAGTGTGTGCCTTATACTATCTGTTCACATGGTTGTAGCACATTCCCCTGGGTGTTGTGAAGTGTGTTGAAGTGGTGGCTCCGCCTTCCAATTGCTGTTATGCAATAATTTCGAAAGCTGTCACTTCCTGATTGGTAGGAAAAGCTTATAGGGGTGAGAAATAAAATAAGTCAGATCATCAGATTGTATATGTCCTGGACACGGGCTCCTCACTAAATGTCACAACTTGGCTGGTTTATAGACGGCTCAAGTAGTGACACCTGTTAATAGGATGCCCAACACTTTCCATTATAAGACCTAGTTTTCAGTTGCTTATAACTTTTTGTCAAACTTTAATCATTCTGGCTGAAATTGTCTATGCTGAGTGTCTTCCTCAGTTTGAATTTTGTTGGAAAGTTTCGGTTAAAATAGACATTTCAGCCATTTACAAGAATGAAATGAGGAAGAAATATTTTGTTTTGCGTGTGTTAAAATATTCTTACAAGAGTTTTTTGTTAAGGAGCTCTAGCACCCACATTCTCTGGAGTAGGACATTGAAATCTGGTTGGGGTTTTCACCTGGTGTCAGGGATGTGACTTTTTCTGTGCTCCCAAAATCTGGCCAAGTTATAAGCATAGGAAAATCTCAGTTTGCACAGTAGAGACTTGTTAGAGTTTGACAGATACATTCTCTCAAGATTCTGTCTGCACTGCACATGGTCCAGGGCTGCAGGTGTTGTGCAGGACTTCCCTGCTAATTGCTCCTCCCGACTTTGAAGGGCCACTGTGGTGCAGCAGCCAAAACTGAGAGCAGGGAGACTCTCTCCTGCACTCTCATTGTTCCCATTGCTGGTTCTCAGTCAGGCTGGAGGAGGAAGTAGCTTGACTGAACTGCAGTGGGGTGAGGAGCCTGGGGAGCAGAGGCAGGCTATGGGGTGGGGATAAGGAGAAACAGCTGCAGGCTGAGCATTATTACTGTTATTTATTGCACCCAAAAGTACAACTGGCTCTTCACGGAAGATGAGGAAATACCTGGTACCTGTTCCAAGGAGTTTACAATCTAACTACTAGATATGACACAATAAGTGGGGGTGACAAACAGCAGGGACGGACTGGGTGAGGAAGGGCAAATATCACAGCAATATGGTCGCACAGTTGCTCACGTCAGAAATGTACATTACCATGACGAGTCACCTGCTAGAATTGGTATTTTGGTGTTTATTTTAGGCAGACCAAGATAGTAACATGTCTCGAGTTTTTAAACAGGAACACAATAGAACATAAATGCTGCTTACTGTTATGGATGCATCTTGGAGAAGGTGACCAGTCGTTCTTTGTGCATATAAGTTCGGTGTGCAGATTTTCAGGACTATAACCATGAGCGCACACTCATGAAATGTCATCGCCTTCTTGGTAGGTTTTCCCGTAGTGACATATAAATTTACCATCTTCCAAATGACTGACAGAACACTTTCATAAAGGCAAAAAGGTTAAGTGCACCTAGCAACTGGGCATCTTTTCTAGCAACTGGGCATTTTTTTCTTTAAAGTATCCTCTGACTGCTCTTGAAGCAATTCCATTCCCAACTCATCAGCTGCTACCCAAGGGTGAAAACCCGACCCCACAGAAGTCAATAGGAGTTTTGCCATTGACTTCCATGGCACCAGGATTTCATCCCAAGCCCCTAAGGCTTCATGCTAAGTCATTATTCACCCACTTATCACTGACTTGGCCTCAGAGTCTGAAGATTTGCTACAGAGAAAAACAAGTTGCTCCCTCCTGCCGAGATCCTAACCAAGAGCTAAGCATGCTGACTCCACAGCCCACCATGCCCCTTAGAGCCTGGGAGCAAAGAACGAGGCTCGAGACCAAAATTCTGACCTCCTGAATATTTTTTTTAACCCTTTCTCACCCACCTGCATGAGTCATGAGTGCCAGGAAGGTGTGATTGGCAACTATATTGTGATTGAAGTGTGAGCTTCTTGTGGCTTTGCGCCTCTTATCAAGACACTCCCTTCAGTGGGAAAGCCGCTCACTCTGTGCAAAAAGGGTCCTCTACTTCAGACCCCCTCTTTGGAATTCACCTCTTCCATTGTCACTTTCTACTTCATTGTAACCACCAATGTCTCTGAGCCTACTCTCCTGGTACCAGAACTGCTATCCTGTGCATTGTGATGGTCTGAATTTGACTGTAAGCTCTTTGGAGAAGGGACCTTGTCCTTGTTTGAGCTCTGTAAAGTACGGTGCATACTTATGACACTATTTCATTCAGACAGAATTCAATTATAAATATTGTTTTGACACACTCCTCTCTTCTAAGTTTTCACGGGCAGTAGTTATTCCTGGCAGCAACTTTGTAATTAATCAAAGGGGAATTTTCAGGTAGTTTTTCAAATGTAGAATAAAAACTTTTCAAGCATCCAGGCCTCAAAAAAAAGTCTTTTTCTAAAAGCAAAAGTAGGAAAAACCACATGATATTTCTGCCATTTCTAGCTGTAAGACAGAATAGTTCATATGCTCAAAAATCCATACAGTGCCAATTACAGTCCCAGGCCTAGTATAACCAATTAGAATTTCATTTTTTAAGCTAAAAAGTTATGATTGTGTGATGATTAGCCAAGCCACCCTAAATGATTAACCGCTCACTGGTTAAACTGTTAATCACTGAGGGCACAAAGCTGTAAGTGCGAAACTCTTAGCATTTATCATTTTAACTACTGCAGGATTGAACTGCATTCCAAACCGCTAAGAGTGTGGGGAGGCAGCGAGGTGGGCCGCTGAATCAGGGGAGTCTGGAACAGGCCAGGAAGAGGGAGAGGCTTTAATCTCAGGATGTGTGCTCAGTGCAGCTCCCAGGTCCAGTGTGGAGATGCATTTTGGGGGCTGGTGGACCTGGTAAAGTCTCATGGAGGAAAGCAGGACCCCCTTCCCTCAGAGTTTCAGCACCGTCAGAGGAGGTGATTTGTGCCCTCAGTGAATAACAGTGGAAAAGCTAGTGTAGATCTGGCAAGAAGGTATCCCAGGAGAAGGGCTGACTTGGGACTGGACTCAGAATTGGGCCATATGCTGAGGTGGCTGGGGTCTGGAGCTGAGGTGCAAGGCTGCAGAAGGGAAGCAAGAACTGGCTCATGTCTGGGATCAGGCTGTGATGAGTGGTGGCAGAAACAGGGCTGGAGACTCTCTGAAGGGCCAGGGAACAGGGTGGCAAGACTGTAA